TTCTGAATGTAAAACTCATAAAAGTGTGGCTTTTGTGAGTTTTAGACTAAATTTATGAAAGACTCTCCCCCACTCCCCAATCAGAGTTTTTAGCTCTCAGACTTGCCTACATGGAACCTCTTACAATTCATCAATTACAGTTCAGGTTTTTCTACCTGGGACCAATTGCTGTGTAGACACGTGCTGGTGGGTTTCTGCTCCATTACTGTGATTCTCTGTATCCACTTGTCTCTTCAGTTTTGGAGATAGCAGTTTGCCCTGTGACCTCTGACGGATCTAAGAAGAGTTGTTGGTTTTTCGCATTGTTTAGTTTTTTACTTGTTGTTGGCTTCCTTTACTTATTGTAGCTGGGACTACAGGTGTGTGACTCTGAGCCTGGCTAATTTTTCCATTTTTTGTAGAGACAGGGTCTTATTCTTGCTCAGGTTTGAACTCCTGTCCTCAAGCAATCATCCCACCTCCCAAAAGTGCAGGAACAGCTGGATATTTACATACAAAAAAGAAAATGAATCTGGACACAGACCTTACAGCATTCACAAAATTTAACTCAAAATGGATCACAGACCTAAATGTAAAATACGAAAGTATAAAACTCCTACAAAACAACATAGATGAAAATCTAGGTAACTTTGAGTATGGTGGTAACTTTTTAGATAAAGTACCAAAGGCATGATTCTTGAAGGAAATTAAAGACATGTGCTCTAGGCTTGGCGCTGGTAGCTCTGTAGCGAAGACACCAGCCACATACACCAAAGCTGGTGGGTTTGAATCCAGCCCAGGCCTGCCATACAATGACAACTAAAACCAAAAAACAGCCAGGCGTTGTGGCAAGTCCCTGTAGTCCCAGCTACTTGGGAGGCTGAGGCAAGAAAATCGCTTAAACCCAAGAGTTTAGCTTGCTGTGAGGCAGGTGGATCACCTGAGCTAAGGAGTTAAGCTTGCTGTGAATGCCATAGCACTCTACCAAGGGCAACAAATTAAGACTCTGTCTCAAAAAAAAAAAAAAAGTGTGCTCTAGGCTTGGTGAGTAGGGCATAGCTCACCCATAGCTCAGTGAGTAGGGCACCAGCCACATACACTGAGGCTATCAGGTTCGAGCCCAGCCCAGGCCAGCTGAACAACAATGGCAACTGCAACCAAAAAAATAGATGGGCGTTGTAGCGGGCACCTGTAGTCCCAGTCACTTGGGAGGCTCAGGCAAGAGAATCGCTTAAGCCCAAGAGTTGGAGGTGCTGTAAGCTATGATGTCACAGCACTCTGCCAAGAGTGACATAGTGAAACTCCATCTCAAAAAAAAAAAAGTGTGCTCTGTGAAAGACGCTGTCAGGAGAATGAAAAGCAAGTCACATATATGCAGAAAATATTTGCAGACACGTTTAATAACAGACTGTTATCCAGTTCAAAGAACTCTTAAAACTCAACAATAAGAGCAACCCAATTAAAAATGGGCAAAAGACCTTAAGAGACACTTACCGAAGAAGATACATAAATGGCAAATGAACACACAAAAACATGCTCAACATCACGTCAAAAAAAAATCGCAAATTAAAAACAACAATGAGATACCACTACACACCCATTAAAATCATCCAGAGCCAAAACACTGACACCACTAAATGCTGACAAGGATCTAGAGCAGTGGTTCTCAACCTTCCTAATGCCACGACCCTTTAATACAGTTCCTGTGGGTCACGACCCACAGGTTGAGAACCTCTGATCTAGAGCAACAGGAACTCTCATTCATTGCCGGGGGAGTACAAAATGGTGTATCCACTTTGGAAGACAGTTTGGTAGCTTCTTTAAAAGCCAAACATACTTTCACCCTATAATCCAGCAATCTTCCTCATTACTTATCTAAATGAATTAACACTCCCTATTGTATTAACACTGCTTATTACTTACCTAAACGAATTAACACTCCTTATTACTTTTCTAAATGAATTAGAATGTTGTCTAGAGGCTGGACAGCAGCTCATGCCTGCAATTCCAGCACTGTGGGAGGCTGAGGCAGGAAAGAAGCTTGAGGCCAGGAGTTCAAGATCACCCTGGGCAACATAGTGGGACCCCATCTCTTTAAAAAATTAGCTAGAGGCTGGGCATAGTGGCTCACACCTGTAATCCTAACACTTTGGGAGGCTGAGGCAGGTGGATTGCCTGAGCTAAGGAGTTCAAGACCAGCCTGAGCAACAGTGAGACCCCATCTCTAAAAAATAGTTAGGTGTGTGGCAGACACCTATAGTCCCAGCTACTTAGGAGGCTGAGGCAGGAGGATTGTTTGAGTCATGATGATGCCACTGCCACTAACCTGGGTGACAGGGCAAGACTCTCTCTCAATAAAATAAAATAAATTCTATTAATTAAGGAGAAAGACAACTCTCCTTCCTGCTCGCTCCTTTTCATTCCACCTGCACGTTTCTTTAATGAAGCTGATTTCCAGACAGCACTTGTGGCTCAGTGGGCAGGGCGCTGGCCCCATATACTGAGGGTGGCAGGTTCAACCCTGACCCTGGCCAAATTGCAACAAAAAAATGGCCAGGTGTTGTGATGGGTGCCTGTAGTTCCAGCTACTCAGATAGCTGAGGCAAGAGACTCGCCTAAGCCCTAAGTTGGAGGCTGCTGTGAGTTGTGATGCTCTACTATAGTACTCTACCTAGGCAAGAAAGTGAGACTCTGCCTCTAAAAAAAACAAAACAACAACAATAAAAAAAAACACAGCTAATCTCCAACATAAAAATGCAAAGTAGAGTGGAAGCTACAACTTATAAACCTGGTGTAGCCGGAACTTTCTGTTCCTAAAGCCAACACGGGACAAGGGTTCGTAGCAGCCCGTCACAGACACAGCTGTCAGCTAAGACCTGCTGCAACTAAAGCCTTTCTCTACCGCATTGCGTTGTTCTGCAGAGTCTTGGACCTAAGTTTCAGGAGTACAAGGGTGGAAAGAAGTCACCAGAGGACAAATTTCAGCTCAATGAAAAGAAGAGCTTTCAAATGGCTAAGTAAGAACCCAAAGGACACCTCTAGAGGTAGTGAGGTGCTCATCACAGAACCAGGTACAAAACCCATCAGGGAGGTCCGCAAACAGCTTCCTTTGAAGTGGGAAGTTCTTTCCAACTCAGAGATCCTATATTTTCACTGGGAGCACCCTCAGGAGCAAGAAGCCTGCTGGAGACTCTGTCCTGCCCTGGGCATTTGTGATTTTCCATGTGCCTGTCTACATGCAAGGCCAACCTCCCATAGCTCAGTTGGAAGAGGAAAGATAGGCAGCCTGCCTGTACCCAGATGGTGAGAGAGACGGGCCTTAGGAAGTCGAGAGCCTGGCCCCCCAGGGAGGGCACAGTCTTCTGGCTCTGGGAAACATGCCAGATGGCTTCCCCCTGCACTCTGCTCTTTCCTCCCAAGTCCCAAGTCCTTTCTGCTACATAGAAGATGTCAGCAGCACAACACAGGGCACACATGGGCCTTTCCACGTCACAAATTACCTTCCTGCATTCTATTTCATTTAGCCTCCCAGCAATGCATGAGGTAGGCAGCAGCCAGCATGTCTCTTATCAGACATCCCTGACGGAGAAACTAAAGCTCCGAGAAATTAACTGACATGCTAAAGTCTGCACAGTCCAGGAGAGAGACTCTAATTTAGGTCTCCTGGTTCCAGACCCCAAGTTTTCCTCTCAGCAGGCTGTCTCAAAAGGACCACATGAATCATTAGGAGACTTTATCTTGTTGTTAGCCCATTGTACCCAAGGCCTTTCTCAGTGGCCCAAGGCATAACCACACAATCTCTGGAGTGGATGTGGGAAAGATTCAGGGCGCAGGTGGATCCATCTACAGATGAGCAGGTCAAGGGAAGAAAGGCTTTGACAGAATGGCTCAGTGGCAAGGGTAGACTCTGAGTTCTCTTCTGATCCAGGGCACACAGCTGACAAGGAATGAGAGGCTGCACAGCTCTCTCCCTCCTGCCTGCCCAGAGCAGCCTTCCCCGTGGGGACCAGGTGAGTCTCACTCGCATTTTATACCAAAAAAACAAGGAGTCCACAGCCAGCAGGCCTCCCTCCTTCAACATGCTGTGGCATTAAGGGAGGCCTGTGTGTAGCAGGTCTCCGCTGTCCTAATTTCCTGGCTAAAGACCTAGATAGAGTATCTAAATTTTCCTCCAGCCAACTGCTGCCCCAGATTTAGCCTCTCTGATGGATAAGTCTGTCTTTCGCTGCCAGTGGCTGAGTCTGTCACTCCATCCCATCCCCAGGCTTCCTGAATGGCCTCTTTGTAAGTTGCTGACAACACAGGAGAATGCTCACTTGAAATGTATAGAATTGTTTGAAGGAAATGCCAAAACTCTCATGTGAGACCGAGAAGAGGGACTGGAGGCACGGAGGCCCAGACTCTGGCGGTGGAGGAAGACACAGCACTGCCACAATGCCAGTCCTCACATCCCTGCCACCCACATCCAAATCCTCAATCTTTTTCTTCATTTTAATCAACAAAATGATTCTGAAGTCCTGCTGGAATGATAAAGGAGCAAGATGAAGTGGGCTTCAGTGGCCCACCACCCTCGAAGGAGTGAGAGTCTCCACGGGCTGCCTCAAGCCAACACTGGACCCATGCTCAGAGAATGAAGGGACTTCAGAGATTGTCACACCCGATCATCCTACGGGGCCAGAGCCTGTCTATGGATCCCACAGGCCATTACAGCCACCTGTGCGCACTGACATGCTGCTTGGGACCTACTGATGCAGCTCACAACAATTCTGGATGGTGCTTTCTTCACCCTTTTTGCTTTCTTCCTAGAGGTTGTCAAGGAGAAAGATACTTCTTGCCAAGAAGCTATGACAAGTCCCAAACAAGCACCATCATCCCATTTGGCCTCCCTGCCCTGCCCCATCTGATTCCCCAGTAAGTCCCCTGAGTGCCCAGCTCGCCAACTCTGTTCCCCAGTACTGGGGACACGAGCCAGCACAGTGGCTGTGGGTGCAGAGTGGGGCAGGAGGGGAGCGTGCGCCTACCTCTCTCTGCTCCCTCTGAAGGCACAGCTCTTCTGTCTCTTCCATCAGTTTGTCTGCCAAAGCAAGAACACACACGTACACACTCACAAGGGGCTCACTCTGGATCAGAGGCCCTGAGGTAGCCTCTGTCCCTCCCAGCACCTCCCACGGGAGAGGTCAGCACCCCTGCCAGCCAGAGGGTGGGGCACGCTCCTGAGCTACTGCCACCTTTCCCGCCGTCATCCCTACTTCTGCATCTTCTGAAGCTCCAGCAGTTCCATACTGTAGCTGGGCCGGTTCCCACCCGCCGCCCCCCTGCATTGGTGTCTGACTGGTGGGGGAGAGCACAATCCTAAGTGTCTGGAGCAGTCAGAGGGATACAGTGTTGGGCCCCAAGAGTCTAAGCAGGTGGAAAGGAAGAGGGACCCAGGGAAAGGTGCAAATCCTCAGTCTCACTGCCTTCTCTTTCAAGTAAAGCATGTTTACTAACCAGTCAGGTACATAGGGCCTTGGAACCCTGTGGCCAAGCTTAAAGTGGTGGTGGGGGCTGGGGGACGGTGGTTCCAATTCTAGGCCCTGGGGACCCAGGGTAGGATAACAACATAACTTCACTTATGGAACCCTTACTATGTGCCTGGCACAAGCACTTACAGACATTTTCTCATTTAGCCTGATGCTCATACCACATCTAAAATAAGGGACTATTTTTATCACCATTTTCAGAATGAAGAAATTGAAGCTGAACTGTCTACAGCCAGTAAGAGAAGTGATGAAGCTGGATGCAGAGCCCAGGCCCCTAACCACCAGGCACTCCTGTCTTCAGCCACACCGGCTAAAAGGACACTTATTGCCCCATAAAGCCGTCCAGGTGCCGACTGGTCTCTGGTTCTTCATAGCCTGCTAAGCTCTACCCTAGACACTTCCAGCCCAGCCCATGTCCTCCATCAAAGACCCAGCTGTAGCCACAGCCCAGACCCCAAGTGCCACCATCAGGGAGCCTCAGCTTCCAGTCCCTGCTCCAGCCAACCTAAATACTCCTGCTTTTCCTTAGCCAACTGCAGCCCCTGGGCCTCCAGGCTTTTGATCATGGCTTCTCCCAGCTGGGCATTCTTCCAGGTCCTGAGGAGGAAGGGCAGATAGGACAGAAGAAAGAAGAGGAAGAAACAGAAAATGATTAAAATGGAAGGGGAGAGGAGAAAGAGGGTGCACACATTTTGTACTCGCCCATCCTTTCTCCTCCAGAATCTCAGCTTGTGTTCTCCTTGGCATCCATGGCTCTGGGCACAACACCAGCACCGATCACTTACAGTAGCTGGAAGCTGACCTAGGCCACAAAGTGGGCCATGGGGGCTGGGCCAGCAGCACTTTTAGAGCAGGGAAGAGATCGGGTAGCAGGCAGATTTCTACACCGCAGCATGGCCGGCACCTGCTGCAAGACCTGGCACAGGGTGCAGTCAGTCTTGTCTGTTGGACGATGAGCATGACCCAGCTTGAACAGGGAGGGTCTGTGCAAATGGGTTGTGTCGGGCTGGGGATCCTTGTGGCCCAGACCCTGATTTACAGACCACTGGCTCAGGTCTTTGCTAGAATGAATTAAGGGCCTGGGAGGGAGAGATGGGTGTGAGAAGGCACCAAATATGAGCAGTGATGCTGAAATTACTCCCAAGAGTTGGAGATAAATGGTACTCACATCTGTCATTTGTGACTCTATATACCTCCTGAGCTCACTTAGGGGACCATTCATAGATGCCCTATACCACCTGGCCTATCTCCTCTCACCCATCCTAACCAACTCCCACGGGCCTGCCCCTGTGCCCACCAGGATCCCAGCAGAGGCAGGGAGTTCAGGGTTGGCCCCTTGGACCCTCAAGCTGTCCCTCCTGGCTGTGACACTTACACCTTCCCAGACTCCTGCAGCATCTCCAGCCACTGGATCTGCTCAAACTCAGACTCAGCAGCCAGCAAGATATTCCCCTGACAGGAAGAAGAGATACAGTTTGGCTGAGATATAGCCACTCTGCGGGTGATAGAGGCCTAGCTCTGCTCTCTCACATGTCCCTGGTCACTGACCCCTCTCAGGCCAGGCCGCGGAGGGGTCGCCCCAAGGGAGCGCAGGCCGAGGGGAGAGCATTACTCACGTGGAAGTCCTGGTGGGAGATCTTCATGGCATAGGGCATGCTGGGCTCTTCCTTGGCTTCCACCAGGCAGCCCCCAAGAGGAATGACGCCCTGAGGGAGAATCAGAACAGGCAGCCCCCACCCCACCCAGCTCAGGTCACTCAGGGCCACAGTATCCCAGGGACAAAGCCATGTCCCGCAAAGGGCCCCAGGTGGGGAGCCAGACCCGGGGGCTACTGGACAGAGGACAGAACTGACTCCCAGGATGGGGTGGGGGACAGGAGGGTAGGCATCTGGCTGAGCAGGGGCCAGGGGGTCTTTCTCCCCAAGAGCATTTGCTCTCCAGACTTTCTGTCTGCAAGGCAGCAGCTGGTCCCATCCCTCACAAGAAACATCCCTTGATGTCCCCTCCCCGGGGAGAGGCCGCCTCACCTTGGGATGTATGTTGAAATATTTATTGGTTTCAAAACTCTTTTTTTCACTCTCAGAGTAGTAAAGCAGAAAACTCTCTTTGATGATGAAAAACCTATAGCAGGTGGTGGGATAGGAGGGACAACCAGGAGAGAAGAAGTGAGGTTTCTCAGCACAACAAGGGTGCCCATGGGGGTTCTGGACTCTACTCAGACTCACTCCCCCCAATTCACCTTCCACATGCACACAAAGGCCTCAGTCTGCCAGCTGAGCTCCCCAGGCAGCCTGACCCTCACACCAAAAGGCAGGCAGCTGAAGTGGGAGCCGCAGACTGGCTGCTCTGTCCCACCTAAATCACCACCCAGGTCCTTCTCCTCAGGCACCTCCAGCCCCTTGAGCTATCACCTCCAGTCACTTAGGGCCCCCTTTAAGAGTGGAGGGAGGGAGAGAAGATACAAGATGCCAAGATGAGTCTTTGGCAAGCAATGACGAAGGCTAGCGACCAAATGGAGTTGGGGTGCCGGCCTGCAGCTCTGAACACCCCCCAGTGTGACACCCATATTCCCTTTGTCTCTCAAACTGCTCCCCAGCCTCCTGTGGAGACTCAGATCTAACTGAATGTCTCTGTGACATGAGGACTGTCCCAGGGCTAATGATGACAGCTGATGAGATAAGACACCAAGTGCCATCCAGAGGCAGATCCAACTGAGCCCCAAGGCTCGAAGCCCCAAGGCGCACCCAGAGTGGCTGGCTGCCTCCTCCAGGGCCCTGTCGATAGCACTGTTGCAGTGATGGGATATGAGCCAAAGGTGGTGGAGATTGTAAAACTTGTGTGTGTGTGCATAGCATGCAAGTGCATGTGTGTGTGCGTATGCGTGTACATCTGGGTGAGAGTTTAAAGCAGTGCTGTCAGCTTAGGTGGGTGCACAATGGCCAACAGTGTCCCTCTCTCCCCTGCTCTGTGTTCAGCGGCATGGCATTGGTAGCTTGACAATGGCCATGAGAAGAGTATTACACCATGAAAGTCAAATACTACAAAACTGTCACACTCCCTCCCCAAGAGCCTGGGGCTGCACATTTCACTAGCACACAGCCAGTTGGCTGCAAAAGCCCTCTCGTGAGGGGCTTGAAGAGTTGCTGGAGAGCATGACAAAGTCAATGAATCACAGAAGGTCCCGCCAGCTGGAGGCCACAGCAGCCAGGACTGCTGACTGCTGCCCTCTCCTCTGTCCTGGGGAGAGTGAAGCTCAGCTTGGCGTGAGCCTCCTGCCAACCCTTTTTCTTCATTTGTGCCCACCCTCTCTACCCAGCACATAGAGGTGCACTCCTTGAGCGCACTGGGCCCTGCTTGAGGGCGATACCCCACTAATGCCAGCTCTTCCCCCAGGGCTTTTTGCCTCCACTGCAACAAGAGCACAAGAATACCCGCTGCAGAACCACGGTGTCATCCTGGGCCTGCCAGCTCCTGACTGCTGCTCGCCTCTCAACTTTCTTGCCACGTCTGCACTTCCTCTGTCTATGCTCCAGGGGACCACTGCACTCACTGCCTCTCTGCACCAGGCCTGCAGGGCCCTGCACAGTCAGGGCTGCTCCCCAGAAGCCCCCCCCACACACTTGTCATCTGGCCAGGCCCTTCTCACTGACCATCTGGCCCATGCCAACTCCGAACTCCTCCAGGACTTGTGGGCCAGGCCATGTACATGGCGCCCACTGCCATACCCTGTGTGTTCAACTTGTCCTGACAGGGTGCTAGGCTCCCACAGGTCACAGCCATTCTACTTTAGTCCCTTAGGCCAAGGTAATGTCCCTGCATTTGTCCCCTGTTTGAAAGGAATTTTACAGGGTAGTTAGGAGCATAGTCTTTGGGTCAGACAGACCTGCCTTGTTTCAGCTGGTAGACCGTGGGCAAGTAAGGTCACCTCTCTGACCTTTAGTTTCCTTACCCATGGAATGGGGGTAACAACACCTACCTTACGCAGTTATTGCAAGGATCAAGTAAGATTCTGCTCCTCACCCTGTCATTGCAGAGGACTCAGGACAGAGCTGAGAAGTGTTCCCACAGTATGAACATACATTACTTCAGAGAAGGATGAGGTGAGCCGAAAGGACCACCCCTGAGCCATCGCCTCACCCTCCTCAGCTTCAAAAACACTGCTATGTGCCCTGCCTCCACATTCCTGTGTTAAAGCCTGACCAAGTGTGACTATATCTAGAGATAGGGTCCTCAGGAGGTGATTAAAATTAAATAAAGTCATAAGGGTGGGGCTCTAGTCTAGCAGGACTGTGGGGTTGAAGGGGAAGATATCTCTTTCTTTTCTTTTTTTTTTTTTT